AAAGAAATATGGTTTCAGTGCTTTTTTCTCATTGTCGCTCTCGTCGTCTCTGTTTCAGGATTGTGTTTGTTCCTCTCACGATTCCCTATATACTCATGGTATCGTTTCTCTTTTGTCGCTCTCATCGTCTCTGTTTCAAGATTGTTGTTGCCACTACTAGGATGGAAACAATGCTTGGTGATACTACCATTGCTATCCATTCCGATGATGCAAGGTACACGCATCTTCATGAAAACTTTGCTGTGCAACTATTCAATGAACGGAGGTTACCAATTATCTGCGATGGAAAGCTTCTTGATCCAAAATTTGGTACTGATGGTGTTAAGGTAGAAGTTTGTTTTATCTACATGTTTCTTTGTTCTTCCTATTTTCAGTTGTTTTGTTGTGTCAATTAAGCTTTATTCTCTTGTAGATGACTCCTGCTCATGATCTCAATGATTTTGAGGTTGGAAACCGCAATACGGATGGTGGGCCTGAAATCGCAAGGGAGTATATGGCACGTGAAGCTGTTGTTGAAGCTCTGAGGAAGAAGGTAATTAATTCTGTATCTTTGTATAACATACCACACTAACTTTGCTATTTTGAGGATAAAATATTGTGAAACTTGCGAGAGTCATTGCTCTGTGATTGTCTTTTATCCAGAGGCTGTACAGAGGTGCCGAAAACAACGAAATGAGTCTTGAGCGTTTTTCAAGAACTAATGATGTTATTGAGCCTATGATAAAGCCTCAGCGGTACATGAATTGTCACGAGATGGGAAAGAAGGCTCTCAATGATGAACACAGGAAACTTGAGTTTATACAAAGGCCCTACACAGCGGAATGGAGAAGGCACGAACAAGTTTTCTATGTAAGTTATTACTAAACTAATCATCAACTCATCAATTAACGTTTACAATGGATCTTGTTACATATGCACTTTACTGGTCAAAAACCAAGTTTAATTTCTTTCCACATGGCAAATGTTATCTTTGCAAAAGGTTATCTTATTTGTCTACTGCTCCAGTTCTGGCACATCCTAGCAATTTTAATGCCATTTATTTACAATGCATTATCAGCTAGGATTTTGACATTACTTGAAGTTGGAGACAATTAGTGTAAGAGAAATGTGTCTTGATTGAACCTCATTGACCTAGGGCATGATTATAATTCTGTAATACTCGTTTTGTTGTCATTCACTTTTTCAATGGAAAATTGATCTTGTATCCTTGTCGTCTCCTCTAGGTGAACGCCTTTTTCCTTATTGGACATGTTTCACTTGGCTTAATTTTCTTAAAGAAGGATTCATTTTATTAAGTACTGGCCTTTCTTCTTGCTCTTGCAGGCTGCAGTGAAATTAAAGACTCAGTTAATGAAGTTGATGAATCCACAAGTGATTACATCATTGAACAGACTTCGAACAGCTTGTATTGAGCCTCTATGCGCAACTATGGCATGGACTTTCCGAACGCAAACTGAGAATGAACTACGACAGGAGATAAGTTCCATGTTTTTCAAGTCTCTAACTTGTAGAGCATCGAAAATCATGGCGGTTGCTAAGGAGACTTCAACTCAGGTTGGTAGTTTTTTTTACTTTTACTTTATAATCTTAATCAGAATTCTTGCATGGACATTTAATTTTAAGATTTTGGGATACTAGATGAAGAAAATAGATATTCCTATTCTTACTAGTCTGGTTGTTCTTCTTTCGGGGAGTAATTAATATGTTTGCAATGATGCTCTTAGAAATAGAGATTTGCTGTGTAATTGATATGTGCAAGATCCAGAAAAGGTGAGTTGATGAATAATCAACTGATTATTTTTAATAATGCTTTCAGAGATGTCGCTTCCTCTACCAGCTCATCTTCTGTTTACTATCAGCATGGATAAGCAGCACAGAGGGGACCAAACAACATAATTAGTGAGTTTCTCTTCCTCTTTTATTTATTGGCTCAGCAATATTGGTGTGTAACCTTTAATTGTTTTGTCTTATGATAAGTGAACTCAAAAAGGAGGTGCTTCCTGCTGAGGCTGATGAAGATCGGATATTGCTCGGTGTGCTTGGCATTGGTTTTCTTCTCGTGATTAGGGTAATGAGATTCTTATTGAGGATCAGAAGGGCAGATCCCCTCAATGCGTTAGATGCTCATGATCAGCCACAAGACAATTCTTCTGGAGATGAAAGTGAAACGCAGTCCTCTGAAGATTCAAACGGCCCCCTTGACAATAATGAAGAGTCTTCTTCAAGCCAAGTTATCGAAGAGGAGGATCGCGATGTTTGGAAAACGATTAATAAGCTGTCTCTACTAGTTACAGATCCTGGAAAGCTCGCTGATGGTTTTTTTGAAGAACGTCCGGTTAAGGTAAAATGCGGTGTTCGAACTGGTGAGATGGAAAATGAGATCAAAACTCTCACGTTAACAGATGATCACCCAAACATCCTTCGATACTATTGTTCAGAGGAAGAACATGGTTATTTTTATTACGGTCTAGAACCGTGGGATTGTAGCCTAGCTCAACTAATCAATTTCTGGAAGGAAAATCAGTCACCAGAGCCTATAGAATTAGATGCACCGTATTATGAGAACCTTGCTCTAGAAGAGAACAGTTTGTGGACAAAGGCAGGTGATCCATTACCACTCTTGATAAAACTCCTGAGGTAAATTTATACGCACGTGTAAATTAATTAACATTCATACTTACTTTTCTTACTTAACACTTTTTCGGAATGTTTATGCGATGTAGAGACGTTGTTAATGGAGTCGCACATTTACACGACAAAAATGTTGTCCATCGGGACTTGAGGCCCGAGAACGTCATGATAATATATAACGGAAAGACTCTCGTTGCAAAAATAGATGATATGGGGATAGCTATGAATACGAATGTGAAACCTTTGAGCCACCATGACATAGGTACTTTTTTGTTTGTTGTGTGATTTTTATCCCCCATATTCAAATGGTGGAATATCTTTTGGTTGAGTTTCAACCATTTTTGAAACCGCCTATGTAAATTGCAGATGGCATGAGTGGTTGGCTAGCACCAGAGCAACTGCGGAAACAAACAGAAACTTTTGCAGTTGATATTTTTAACGTCGGCATCCTCATATATTACACTTTAACAAGAAGTAAGCATCCATTTCTTCACGGAGGTATTAAGCACCATAAAGCCAACATCAAGAACTGCAAGATCAAACTTAAGCCCGTGGAAAAGTTCCCTGAAGCTTTACACTTGATCCAAAAATTATTGACCATAATACCTGAGTCACGGTAATATATATTCTATTTTAGTGAAATCATTTTTCATTCAACAAATCAGTTATTAATACGCCACTTGCTTATTGCAGTCCCACAACATTGGAAGTGATTCAGCATCCATTTTTTTGGAGCCCTGATGAGAAGCTTGCTTTTTTAGTAGAGGCTAGTGACCAAGTTAAGGGGTGCAGTGAGTCAATGAAAATCGAACTGGAGAAAAGAGCAGGAAAAGCTATAGGGGGGACATCATGGGATACTAAGTTACATCCTGATCACTTGACGCACATCAAGAGACCGAATAGCCAGGGCGCCCGTACACATTACACAGATGGTCTCCTTAGCGAATTGATACGGTTGATCAGAAATACTCGCCATCACTATAGAGAAGAGCCTCCACATATTCAGGTATGCTTAAAAACAAGTCATTTGTCCTCGTAAACAAGTCAATTAATCACTTTATCACAAGGCTAAATTGGTTGAAACTTTTGATTTCTCAGCAACTTTTTGGAGATGGACAGTACACGTATTTTTCTAGCCGGTTCCCCCACTTACTAATTGAGGTATACGAATTCATCTATGAATACTACAAGGAAGAAAAAGAATTCAAACAATTCTTCAACTCAAAGTCCTTCTAAACTGCCCAAGGTTAGAATTCACACAATTTTTGAAAACAGCATGATTTCTTGAAATTATGTGTACATAGATCATTATATTTCCTATGTTGTAAAACAAACTTGATCCATTCGTTGCTACAAAAGTGTATTGCTAGCTTAAAGTGTTTGGTAAACAAGTGAAACATTCTTCGATATATTACTGCATTAGTTGTGCAAACTATCAATCTCCAAGTCTTTTTGCTGTGTGTTGGTTTGCTTAATAATTGGTGGTTGTGCGAGAATCATAACAAAACACTTTAATTTGTACTCCATCGATTAATAAAGTCTCTGTCAATGTTCGAATGATTCTAACAAAAGCCTCTGGCGATTTTGTGTGATCCTTTCGTTTTGCAGCTATGAGGACTCCCAGTCAAAATATTTCCAAAGAAGTACTACTTTTTTATAACTGAATATATATAACTAATTCGGTCTTACTTTTTAATTTATTTTTCTTAATGGTTGAAGTATTTTACAGTATCAAATGTTACTAGTGAACACTACTAAGAATTTTGTTGTTTGTGTTGTATTTGATAGTATAACTACGTTAGGTAATTACTTGAATATCTTAAATTATAGTATTAATTAAAATAAGAGACGTTCTGATCACAACTTTAATCAAGCATTACTATCTAAACAAACATGGAAGATAGCTAGTGAGCGAACCTAGCTCCCTACTGTCGCGATTATACGAAGGTCGGTATTTCTCTTCAAAGGAATTTCTAGAATGTGAAAATGGATATCGACCATCGTATGCATGGACAAGCATTTTGTTTGGTCGTGAACTCCTCACGAGAGGACTATTAAAATCTATTGGAGATGGTGCAAAGACAAAGGTATGGCTTGATAAGTGGCTCATGGACGCTATCCCAAGACGTCCTCTCCACAACCAAGGACAGAGGGATCTAAATTTGAGAGTGGCTGATTTGATTGACGTGAATGGAATATATCTCTGATTCAAAATCTATTTCACCCTACGGAAACACACAAGATTGCTTCATCACCTATATCTGACACAAAAGACTGGTTCATTTGGCCTTTTACAGAAAATGGTGCCTACTCTATCAAGAGTGGTCATTGCTTTGCCTCAACCTACACTCTGAATGAGGTCAAAAGGAGAATATGGCAGTGTAAGACTATTCCCAAGATTATAATGTTTTTATGGCGAGCTGTTTCTGGTGCGTTAGCGATTGCTGATCGAGAGGGTTGCCGGTGGACACGAACTGCAAGTTATGCCAACAAGCGTATGAAACCATCTCTCATCTTCTGTTTTACTGTTAATTGGGGTTACCCAGCTCAACAAATGATGAATCTAGCAAACATTGAGGTTCCGACTAATGGTTTTAGTGATGTGGTGGAGCAAAACATTACACATTTTCATTAGTAAAAAGTTGACTTAGTCAAAGAGCGATACGGGGTCTTCACGCGCCGCTGTCAGCCGGCATCTTCTCAGGCGGCGGCTCCTCTTAGATTCTTATTGCTCAGGTCCGCCCCTCCTCATGGGGCAGAAGAAACCCAAAAAACCCTCACCATCCAAAAAGATCCAAAAAATCCAAATCGAAAGTTTGCTCCGGAGGCGCAGTGTGTCGCCTCTCCGACAGAACCAAGTCTGATAAGCCCTAGTAAGGTGCACGATGGGACTGAGGTGCAGAAGTCATCGACTTCAACCCTGCGTTTGGAACCTCCAACCAGATCCGAAACTAACGTCGAAGCATACCGAGGCTGAAGAAGTCGCGGTTAAGGTGACTGCTCACGGAAACAAAATCCCTGCACATGTCCCAACTAGTCAACCTCCAGCGAAAGCAGCTGACACATGCATGGTGTTCCGTGGTTAAAGGGAACACGAGGCACCTTCATAAAATTAATAGGGGAATCGTACATC